ACAGTGCAAGACAGAGAAATCCAGCAGCAGAGGAAGCTGCTGACCCTAAATAGAACTATTTTTTTTATACACCTTTAATAGACTACGTCAAAGTTCCCAGGAGGAATTGAAAGTTGGCATCAGAACCCCAGTGACTGAAAATGGCCACTTGCTCTAGATACTTATATTTAAATTAGCAGTAGAGTGGCACACGTCAATTCCGAGTCCCACCTGTGAACTCAATAGTCCTCCACTGATCCTTCTGTTGTCTCCATAAAACCCAGCACACACATGTGGATGTAAATGAGTTTCATTCCAGATCAACAATTTCCTTCATAAGCAAGTAACCCCAGCAGACTTTTTCTGCCTCTATGTGCCACGTCCGCCGAGAAACCAGGCTTCCCAGCTCAGGTTCTTCTTGAGTAACTCAGAATAAACCCAAAGAGTGACAGTTTCCTTGTGTTGTTTTTCAGCCCTCTCACAGAAGGTCAGTCTTAAGTCTCAGGTTAAAGCACGAAATTTTCCTGTTTGTTTGCTCACTACGAAAATGAAATTATTTGGGGAGAGGAGAAACAGGTGAATGTTCTTGGAAGGTTTTATCAAGTTCAGTAACTTCCAATTAAATTAGTGGACACACGCCAGGTAATTGGGGAAAGCAAAACTCATTTTTAAAAACATCATATGTTATTTCTTTAGACAAGAATAAAGTAGGAAATAATATGGCCAATCAAAATTGTTGTAGGAGAATCCGGTTCTACCATAGGTTTAATTTCCTTCCCTGTTTATCTGTTAAATTCAGGGTAAGTTCTGTGAGCGATATAGATTTAACTCGAATTTCTGCTTCTTCTATATCTTTGCATCGTTCTGTATTCATTGAGCTTCTACTGTGTGCCAGGCACCACTCTTGGCACTAACTATTTAAGAAGTATTCAAACACTGACCCTACTTTGTTAAGCTTACAACATGGTGAGGAAGTAACTGATAACTAGAATGTATCATAGAAAGCACCTGGTCAACTCCTAACTACCCTTCAAAGCAGCTCAGTTGCCACCATCTCCAGGAAGTTTTCTGAAGAATAAGTCATTTCTAATTGCACATATTAGTGTACATGCTATATATTTTGAAGTTATTGGTTACATTTCCACCTCCCTACTAAAGCAAGTGCTTTCCTCACGCAAGGACTATGTCTTTTCATCTTTGTTTGAAACGAAGGGACTGCAGATGTAAAGATGAAAGGAACAGACATTTTCTTCAATGCTGTATGCATGATAAGAGTGTATTGAGTGAAAAAGGACCAAGAAGATGCACTAAGTGTAATACATGGTAGGGATGGACTAGTACAAAGACACAAACATGACAGAGAAGCTGGTAAATACAGGAGGAAGAATATAAACGCACATTGAATATAAAAGCAGAGGGGCTAGCGTCATGTTGTTGGCATTGGAAGACACAGGAAAATTGTAAACACTGGCAATTTTAAACTAACCAAAAGGCAGATGAGAAAATTGAGAACAAGATGATACATTTAAGTTCAGCAAAGCAACTGTTTCAAAATAACTTTATGACTTTCTTATTATTGTCACCAAAATTCCTTAAGGGGAAGGGGTTATTTCTGAATTTGCATATCCACAATGCTCATTATAGTGCCTGACTTTTAGTAGCTACTTCTACTTCATGCATCATGTTGAATCAGACTTAAAGGCAATGATATAGTGGACAAAGATGATTAAAATAAGATGGTAAGAAATGCAGTGAGTACAAATGAGGAAAATTACTTTGAAAAGTAAATATAGATGTCTAAAGATTATTTATTGTACACATGCATTTTCCTCTACTTCTGTCTCAAAATTCCACTTGAACAATAGCTTGGGGACTAAAAAATAAAGACAGAAACCCACAAGGATAAAGAACACAGGAGAAAATAGAAACAACTTTTTGCAAGATGGAAAGCAGATGGGAACTGAATTAGCAGACTCAGTAAGGCTGAGTTATAAACCGACAGTAGAGAAAGCTGCAGAATCCCTGGGCTTGGTGGCATTAGGTGCCTCTGCAAAGGGGTTTCAAAGCAGGAGGACTGGTTGGAAGTATATTTAAAATCAGTGAGACCCTTCCCTAACCCCCTACCTACTATCATATCCCAGCTGAATATTGGAGGGGTTTTTTTTTCTCTTAAGAGGGTAAAACAACAGATCTCAAGATTGGAGAACATTAACAGAGTTGAAAAGTGGGTGTCAGCTGAAAAGGTGTTATGGAATAACAGTGTACCTACTGCGTGTTGCTATTCAGACTTTCCCGTCACACAGGTCCCAGGTTTCAGAGATCTAGACTTATATCCTCTAGGTTGGAGGCTAGAGTGGACTTTCTGAGCAATCTGATCATTCTGAGAGAAATAAACGTAAGTACTAACATTGCAGTATGAAATGGCTCAACCAGATGATCTTACACTGAAGCCCATTAAACACCCCTTGGACACACAGATCTTTAAGTTAACAACTTAACTGTGACATTTAATACAGAGACCAAAATGAAAAAACAAACAAGAAATATGGCCCAGGCAGATAGATACATGAAAATTCCAGAAAGCTATCATTAATATTCTACAAAGGAGGAAGAATTTGCATCAATGGAAGAAGAACCATATATAAGATATGAGATGACAAAACACAGGAAAAATTTTAAAGGAAAGCATAAATGAAACATTAAATGAGAGGGTTTTAAGGTAAATCTGAGGAAGTCATTGTGAAAGAAAGTATAAAGAGATGGAAAATAGAGAATGATGAATGAATCATTCCAGAAGGTATAGCATGTGAAAAAAATGGAACTCTGGAAAATACAAGACAGAAAACAGAAGGTCAGACATCATTAAAGAAATAACTCAAGAAAAAAATTCAGAATTAAAGCATGAAACTTTTAGGTTAAGTGGGTTCAGCACAAAGATGAAAATACAACCAACCACATTAAAATGCATCACCATATAATTTTAGATCACTGGAAACAAAGTGAATCTTTGAAGTCTTTCAGAAAAGAGAAAAAATGTTTTCATAGAAAGCATTTTTCTATGAAATGCTTTCATAGAAAAGTAACTTTTCCAGACACACCTAAAAGCGTAAAGAAAATTGAGCAATGTTATACCTAGACCAACTATCCATTAAGTGGGATAGTAAAATAAAGGCATTTTCAAACTTAGAAGGTCTTAAAGAAATTAGTGATCATATTTGAAAATGCATGCCACTGAGAGAGAAAACCAAGAAAGAAATGGAACCCAGGGAACAGTGGATCCAACACAGGAGACAGGCAATGGAGACACCCCAAGATAATGGCAGAAAGGGTCCCAAAGTGTCAGTCATGCAAGAGGTCTAGAGAAAATGTCTGTGTAAGAGAAGTTCAGAGGACTCCGGAGTTTTGTTCAATATTAGCTGATGTGTTTGAACGTATGTAGGGGAACTCACTTTAGATGTAATGTGGCTGCAGCAGCAATTGCATATGGGAAGCATTGGACTCACGCCCCTGGGAAGGAGGTTAATGAATGGATAGAGTGTGATAACTGCCTGGTGTTATCTGTTAATGTAGGAATGCATTGTTCTTTCTAGTGGCTACCCACTGTATGAGTTTACTATTAGCTCCCTGTAAAAAGGGATCCTGTCCTGGGAGGAGCATAGACTTTTCCCAGCCTGCCACTACTGGGAGCACCTGCTTTGCCCGTGTATGTAGTTTCTCCTATTACAGCTCTCATGAATTTGAACAAGGCTACGTGTCAGTTCTGTGGAATTGATCCTGAATTTAGACATTTGGGGCTTTCCCCCAACAATGTATTTGAGGGATCTGTCATAACTTGGGCAGCATTTGTTGATAAATTAGTGATATGCATGTGGAAAATGAAGTAAAAAGAAGAAGTTTTTTGAAAATCAGAAGATTGTTCAGGAAAAGAAATCTACAACATGGATCAACTGTGAATAGAATTTAAATAATCCAAATTGCTTGAACCACAATTAAAGTATAGTTATCTTGGGCTAAACAGGGAGGAACCAAAATGTGCCTAGATTAAGTGGAACAAAGGGTAAAATAGAGCTACATTTTCATTTCTCATATTGGGAAGTTACGCTTTAATTCCAAAACTAAAATAAAAATTAAGAAGCAGCATGATAAGTATGTTATTCAGAGCAGTGGTCCTCCACATTTGTGGCAACATTTGTGGCACCAGGGACCAGCTTGGTGGGAGAGAATTTTTCCTCAGATGGGGGGTGGTGGACACAGGGGCAGAGCTCAGGCAGTAATGAGAGGGAAGCTCACCTGCCTGCCCTGCCGCTCACCACCTACTGTGCAGCCTGGTTCCTAACAGGCCACTGACGGGTACTGGTCCGCAGCCTGGGGACTGGGGATCCCTGGTTTAGAGGGCATGGAGGATAATAAGAGAAATGAAAAGAATGAGCTAAAGAATGAGTGCATACACTTGCAACTAGATTTACTCAATTCTTTATACTATTCATGTCAATCACACTGATAAAATGCAAACTGAATTTATTTTCAAGAACTAATGTATCAAGTTATGGAAAAAGGGAAGATATTGACCTCCACCCTTGGCTCTCATGGACTACACTTTAATTTCTCAATATTCATATGCACCAACATTCTTGCTCTTTCTTCAAGGATTTAAGGTAGCCCCTGGGACAGTGTAACCATCTTTTATTCCCATCCTAGAGGTTTATAAATCATTGCTTTTATGATTAAAATTGCTTCGGAAGGCTAAGCCTGGTGGCCATATTGTCTGTTTGCCTTGGGAATTAGGTTACAGATGCTGAGCAAAGACTTTGCCTCCCCATTCTGTATTTGTGTTTGCTCAGGCAGGTACCATTTTGTGGTGAAGCAGATAAGATCTGTTCCCAGGCCTGTAAGGGGTGACAAGTATATTATTTGAACATGTGGGAAAATTATTTAAATAAAAAATGTACAAGGTTATCAACATCCCTATCACCCAGTTTAAACAGGAACCGAATAAATGTCACTCTGCTTTCATGTGCTTTGCAGCTTATTCCTGAGGCATCCATGGAGGGCAGGTTGGGAAGACATTCTGAGCAGCTGAGAATTAATTGAGGTGGGTATGGGGGAAATAAAAACTGCAAGTACCATTTACTGGATGTTAAGTTTTAAACCAATGTTGTCATATTTAATCTCTAGAGCAACATTATCAGGTACTTACTAATACCCTGAATTTACAGATACGGAAAGTAGCACTTAGAGTTTAAGTGCCTTGTCTGAGCCAAAGAGCTGGGAATCAAATTTACGTCTACTTCATTATAAAGCCCCATCTCTTAACACTTGTACAGCTTAAGGGGCAGCTATGCATTTTGTTAACAGAGTAGAGAGTTTTGGTGTTTGTAAGCACATCTGCACACACACACACATACAGTTGGTTGAGAGACGGATATAAGAATACTAGAGAATTCTGGAGTTCTATTTTGACCTGTCACCCATAGGCCCCCTTGCAGTTTCTAAGGGAAATAAATGTACCAAGAATAAAGCCCAGCCCTTGTGCTGTCTTTGTACCTGTGCAGCTTGCTTCTAAACATCTACACAGTCCCTCAGTGAGTTAGGCTGAATGGTGTGGAAGGGGCCTATTGCCCAGCCAGAGACAGAGCTGGCTGCCTGTTTTCTGGACATTTCCTAACCAGCCCTGTGCTAGAGAAGGTTGTACTGGATTGTGAGAACCAATAAGTACATTTTCAGGAATTCTGAGAGCCAGTTGATGTCATTCTGGTTGCTTGAAGTGGGTGATGGTGGGAGGATTTATACCACAGAATTTGGGAAGTGCTAAAAATGAGGACTTCCTTTTCTTTCCTCTTTTTTCCTTTTGTTGTTACTAAACTTCTACCAGCACATTACGGCCCAGCTCAGTACCTTACCTCCCTGAATCTAACCACTCTTATGCAGAGAGAAAGCTACTCAGTCCAAATACAGAGAGCTTTCCTCAAACCCTAGGTCTGCTGCCCCAGACCTTGAGGCAGGGCCACAGAGATTCTAGTTATGTTAACAAAGGCTGGGGAGAAGCAGGCAACAACAGAGAGAAGGAGAAAGTCAAGGGTGAGCCAAGACAGATAGCTGGACCACTTCCCAGAGCAGCAGGTTCTTTCAGCCTCTTCTCACCTCCCCTCTCCTTTCTGGCCTCAGACCTGAACCCCCTTGCTCCTTCACAGAGAAAGTCTTACTTGCAAGCCTTGTGACCACACACTACCTTAAAAGACCCCATTTTAAGTGGGGGAGTGACAGCTTACCAGAGCTACAGCAACTTGCTGGCTGTCCAACTGAAAGCAAACATGTCACCTACTGGAACCACAGTTTTGTTTGCTGTCAAATAGGGTTTCAGGGGTACGGTGAGGAACAAATGTCAAGGTTCCCTATGCACTTGCCAAGCAAGACAAATGTAAAAGATTGTTATTGTCAATATTATGATTGTGGATTTCAGCATTTCTATCAGGGAAGATATTTGGAGATAGAAAGAATCTTTCCCACCTCAGAGACTAAAACAGCTTATTTGGTGAATATTGCAGTGAACAGCAGGCCCAGGAAGACAATGCTCTGTAGTTGAAATGTCAGAGATCACGAGCCCTCGCCCCCGCCCCATCCCCATCCCCAGCAGTACAGAGTAATTACACTGTACTCAGGCCTGGGCTTTGACATGCCACCTGACCGTGGAAGCGTCTTGGAGAGGCACATGTGACCTTATTTGCCAGCCCATCCATTCCTTTTCCCTAATCAGTCTTTAACAGCTGTGTTATTTTTAACCCAGATCCCTTGACTTCTTGAGCCATTTCTTTCCCAAGAATACAACATGGGTTTACAGGGACATTATCCTCACAGATGACTTCAGGCAGAGATGCCTTTCTAAGGTCTTCCTTTTAGGTAGCTGAGTGACGGGGAGCTGGGAGTGGAGTTATCTGAATTTGTTTACTCACATACCAGTGGGCCCCTAGACCCGTGGGCCCTGTCTGTATATTTCTAAGCCCTCTTGATAAACAGTGATAGCAATACAGGATGGCTCGGGATAGGGATGGCTAAAGACGAGTCCCACCATCTCTGTAACACCTCTCTCTCTCCCCATCAGCACAAATGAATGCACAGAGGACATCAGAACAGGATGCTTGTGGAAGAAAGGTAGTATTACACATCCTCCTGCTTCCTAAGCAGAGAGAACGCCACCCCCAGCTTTGTCTACAAGGAAATCTAGAGCTGCCACTTAGGACAGGCATCTCCACACAGTTGAGGGGCTGCAGTTTAGAGGAAGAAATGGAGCTGACTGGTGTGGCTCAGATTTGACATTTCAACAAACAGGTCGAATGTTCGAGGAAGCAGTTTTGGCTCTTTCTACAGGCTGAGGAGTTCAGCAAATCACATCGCTGGGGCGCGTAGACACATAGAGTGTTGAATATGGTTGGACATGCACTTCACACTTTATCAGTCACATCTGAATATGTTTGAAAACTTCGCCCACGCAGAGCCAATGTTCATGGAAAAGAAATTCATTTAGGGAGTGTGATCTCCTTTAAGCAGAGTATTTCATTGTTTCTAAGGCCTGGGAATGAACTACAAGTGACCTCCATGTTCCTGTAGACAGTCAGAACTCTCAAAAGGTTTTTGAATAATATATGAAAGAACTTCACGGCTCGCCTCATTTGTACCACAGGTGGTTTGGTGGTTGTGTTGATGATAATGACTCTTTTATAAATGCCTTGAACATGCACGTGTGTGTGTGTGTGTGTGTGTGTGTGTGTGTGTGTGCATACAAAGCAGTGGATGAATTTCTGTTTTACTTAACTGCTTGGAAAAATTTTGTCACAACTTATGAAAAGATACACTTTCTCTTATTCTGGTATTCTGATAACGACAGTGAGGTTATATTCTGTAGCAATTGTCTGTGAATAAAATTTTGTTAAGATTATTCAGTTTTCCTTTTTCTCCAAAGGCTTTTGGGTAGAAAAATTCCTATTGGACATTTTTCAGAAGTTGAATGCATAAATAAGCCAAATAAATAATGAAAGCATAAATCACATATAAAATGTTCTACTCAGCTGGTCTCTTAGAACTCCAAGTTTTAAGTTGGATGGCTTTACTGGACTGTTACCTATTACAGTTGCCTAAAGGAATTGAAAAGGTTGGTATGTAATTCAAATGCACTATGTCTCAGTTTAACAACAGTAAAATAGGACAATAATATCTGTACTCTCCATACTGTATAAAATATTGTCAAAGTCAATAAGTATATGTTTAAAATCCCATATTATACATACAACTTTTATTATACATTTTCTTCTACAGGGTAAAAATAAACTTCCTTGTTTCCTGAAAAAAGAAACACCTTTCTTTTTTTTAATGACAAGTAATAAGCATGTCAAATGTTCAGTAAGTTTGTGCCTCACAGTCTTTGCTGTCAACATAAAGTTTTGCAAGGCCGGATACAAATTTTGCAGTAGCTTTGTGAAATAAGATGGGTGTCACTTTGGTCAAACAAATCAATTTGTGTAATAAAACATTCTGTGTTTGATAAGCTTTTGTCACCAACACATCTTGATTAAATTATCATCATGCAAAACACGGACTTGGCAGTGCCAATGCCAATATTGATACTGACCTCACCTTGGCCATCAAGCGTAGAAGAAATTTTCCCTTTTATTTGACTTGCTACTTTTTTTTGTAAACATGGTCCTGTACATATTTACTCTCTCACTCTCCAACACCTCATACCCACAGATACTGATAATAATCAGGCTATCCCATTTCCTCAATATTCATCCAACTCTGACTAACTCATTTATAAGATATGGCATTTATGTGAACAAATCTACTACTGACAAAGAGTGATCATGCAAAATATTAATTTTCAAAATCCCTTCCTGTGGTATTCAGGATGGCTTCCAAGACTAAGAGTTTAAATTGGATGAATAATAGTGATCAGACAACATACATAACATGCACACATATGCCGGTGCTATAAATTTGTAGATAATTTTCTCATTTGGTTGATCACTGAAGTATTAGGATTGGTCAAAATTGTATCTATTATAAATTAGGAAGGGCACAGTCTTTGTAGATGGGTTATTTTATTCAATTTCAAGTAATTAAGATTTATATTAAATGAGTAATACTATACTTCTAATTTAAATTCAGGGAAATTATATATCAAGATGAATATCTACCCCAAAAGAGACTTAATTATATTTTCCCCAGTATAATTTCAAGATTCTATTGGCCAGAAGATTAAATGTCAATTGCTATGCTTGACACCATGCACAATTTGTAAACCACAGACAGCCAGAGGTTACTTCATGGGATGTCATGAGGTGGAATAATGTCCTCTCACCAGAGGCACAACTGTGAGACAGTGACTCAAAGTGAAACCGTGGACTGTAACTGATCTCAAGTGGTCTTGAAGATAGAAAGCCTCAGACAGTCTCTGCAAGTCTCAGGTACCTCATTTGTAAACTGTGTAGATTGTATCCACTATATGACTGTGATGACCCATGGGAATATGTGTAAAAAGTTTGGTACCACGGTTGTCATATAGTAGGAATATAATAAATGTTATCTTCCTTTCTTCACTAAAGATTCAATTAGACACAGCATGTCTTATCAGCCTTCTATTGGACAAAAGATCTCTTCACACATGGTCTTAGCACAAAGGCACCAAGTCAGGAGTCTGAGAACCTGGGTCCTGGCTCTAGATACTAACCTCGGTGAGAATGTGGTCACCTCACTTCCTCTCTTTGAGTTCGTTTTCCCATCCATAAAATGTGACCTTGACAATGTCACTTTTTCCATCTGGTTTGGTCCTTCTGGGCCATTCATTCTCTGTTCCTGAGTCTTCCCTACAAAGGAGTGCGATTGAAGTGGATACTCTGGTATTGTTCTGGCTCCAGCAGAATCCCTTAAAACAATAGTTTACTACCAGGAAGATTAATATCCAAACATCTTTATCCCCTCTGAATATTTTTCAGGAAACCTATGATAAAATTACATAAATCCTGGGAACAGGACAGCAGAAGATCAAATCTATTATCTACTCAGGTTTGTTGTCCATCATTCATCTCCAGCCCTCTTCCTGGCACTTCCTTCCATATCCTGGTTGTCTGATAAATTCTTTTGGAGTTAAACTCCAAATTGTATTATAAGGAAAGAAGATATTCCTTCTTATGTCTCTCGTGCTATGTTTGATATCCCTTCATCATCCTCACACCCAGTGCCTGACCTTTAATAAGCTTTCACTGAAGAATATTAAATAGCATTGGACAAGTAGTATAATATAATAAGTTTTGTACATTAAAATGATTACTTGGGTGGCAGTGTTGAGTAATACACAAGTAATAACTGTCTGCCCAGTTTTTTGCTAAGCACTCAGGGTAAAGTGATGACTAGCCGAAGTCCCTGACCACAAGTACCTCATTAGTTTCCTGGGAGAACAGGTATCCTCAGATAAGATGGGGGAATGCACAGAAGAACAGGCAATTCTGTAAATCACAATGCATTCTGTTTTCAGCAATGAAAACTCACTTTCCAAGGAATTTTTTCCTAGATGATACAGTGTGCTACAGTGGTTTGGAAAATCTTTATTTAGCCTCAAACCTTTTGATCAACCAAAAGGTTAGGTACAGCAATAACACAGCAGTTAAGGAGAAGTAGAAATAGTTCTGATACAGGTAGGATAAAGAGGCAGAAATCTACCCTTCCATGACCCAATCCCAGCCCTGTCTTCCAGGCTGATGCTGTCCTTGCTCCTGGCTGACAAAGGCAGTCCTGTTGAGTAGGACCTGGTTGAATTTAGTTACAAACTATCACAAGCTGCATACTTTTTTTGCAGGTGAGGAGAGGAGGCCTTGCCAGACAAGTTTATTATTTTTTTTCTAGAAACATTTAGAGCCTTTTTTTTAAAATTGTTGTTCAGTTACAGTGGTCACATTTTACCCTGTTACTCTCCCCTTCCCTATGCACCCCCACTTCCACATTCAATCCTTCCCCCCCTTAATTGTGTCTGTCCATGGGTCCTTTATACATGTTTCTTGACTTGACCCTTCCCCTTCTTTCCCTTGTTATCCCCCTCCCCTCTGATCACTGGCAGTTTGTTCTTCATTTCCATATCTCTGGTTCTATTTGGCTCGCTTGTTTGTTTTGTTGATTAGGTCCCACTTATAGGTGAGATCACATGGTATTTGTCTTTCACCTCCTGGCTTATTTCACTTAGCATAATGCCCTCCAGTTCCATCCATGCTGTCATGAAGGGTAGGAGCTCCTTCTTCCTTTCTGCTGTGTAGTATTCCATTGTATAAATGTACCACAGTTTTTTGATCTACTCATTTACAGTTGGGCTCTTTGGCTGTTTCTAGCACTTGGCTATTGTAAATAACACTGCTATGAACATTGGGGTGCATAGGTTCTTTTGAATTGGTGTTTCAGGATTCTGAGGGTATAATCCCAGAAGTGGAATTGCCAGGTCAAAAGGCAGGTCCATTTTTAGGGGTTTTTTTGGTTTTGTTTTTGGAAATTCCATACTGTTTTCCACACTGGCTGTACCAGTCTACATTCCCATCAATAGTATACTAGGGTTCCTTTTTTTCCACAGCCTAGCCAGCACTTGTTCTTTGTTGATTTGTTTATGATGCCCATTCTGACTGGTGTGAAGTGGTATCTCATTGTGGTTTTAATTTGCATCTCTCCGATGGCTAGTGATGCTGAGCATCCTTTCATATGTCTATGGGACAAGCTGCATTCTTGAACAGACTTGGCATTTTTAATTGTCCCATGGCAGCCCATGAACTGTCTATCTCTATGAGCAAGTAACTCTCATCATCACATTTCAAAAGGAGCTTTTCTTTAAATTCTAGGAGTATTTTGTGCTGTTCTCTATATACTGACCTCATCCCTTGGTTAAATGTCCCTTCTTCTGGAAGAACTTTTGTCATTCTATAAAATGGTATAAGTACTTGGGTGAACCTCTTACTACCTGAGCTTCCAGCACCACAACATGCTTTATATTTTGTCATTTCTGTTTTTTTTTATTTTTGAGACAGACACGGGATGAAGCCATGTCTTGAACATGTATCTATTTATCCCTAGTACCTAGTACATTATCTAAAATGCTAAAGGCTCTGAAGTATTCATTTTTTTTCATAAAAATGAAAGACATTTTTATTGAATGCTTACAGAGTGAATAATAAATAAATGAAGATAATGACAGTATTTACTAGTCGTCATCCTGACAGCTTTAAAATTTCTAGACTATCTTTGGAATTTGGAGGAAAGGAGCTGAACTCTGTACATGTCTTACCTGATTGATTTTTGACTAAAAGTCTGAGGGTGTTTTCATTGAAATGGGGAAACTGAGGTGAAGTTTGCCCTTTGAGTCAATGGAAGAGCTGGCATTTCAACTTGCATCTCTTGGACTTGAGGCTGTGTTTTCTCCACTCCTGACATCGCATTGCCTCCTTACTGGTGAGTGAAGAAATGACAATGCCCTGTCCACTTGTGTAGTTATTTAGAGGTGCTTTCACAGCCAGAATCTTCTTTGTGCTGGCATGGCAGCTGTCACTTGGGCGACGTGCTGAGCCCTCTGCTCTGTGACAGAGCCAGCTGCAGAAGGCACAGCCAACAGCTTCCAATCAAAGGAAATCCTGAAAAAACAGCTTCAGGGATCTGCCGTGGATTCTCCCCGTCACAGAGCTTGACAATAAATAATACATGAAAAGAGATCAGCTCATGCCAAGGTGGACTTCAAAGAGGGTCGGGTAGCAGGGTCGGAACTCTGCATTTGGTGCCTGTGTTGTCTGCCCATCCCAGAAGTTAATTCACAGAGAGCAGAATGAAGGGAACACCTCCCCCTTCTTCCCCCGCAGCTGATTCGTGGGAACGTTGCGCCTGCATTAAGAGGAAGGAAGAGTAGCTTGCTAGTCTTTAAAGAGCATTTCCCCAGCTCTAAGCCTTAGAGCTAGGCCTTGAACTGCTGCTGTGACATGTGTTCTGAGCTAGTCCCAAACAAGCACAAACACAACAGCCTCCACTGATCTATGCAGCAGGACCGAAGGATGGAATCCAAAGCATGAGCCCTGAGAACAGAAAGTCCCAGTGCTCGCTCTGTGCAAGTTGCCATGAGCTCCAGCCACACATCCTGCAGCCAAGGATGGGTGGCCCCTGAGCAGGAAACTCTTTGGCAGCCTCTGCTGCGTGCTTTGCCTGCTGACAAGAGCACACCCTGGCCTCAGTTATTGCCCTTATAAAACAGCTCAGAGAGGACGTGAGCCAAACGTTTTAAATGTGCCTGGAAGAAAAATGTTAACTATGAATCCATGTGGTAGAACAGTACA